GGCCATCAGAATCAGGCACGCTGAGCAAGCCACACCCCCAAATGGGGCTCAGCATCACGGCCCAGAGGCCTGGCACTCCGGGACCCGCAGCAGACCCCACAGGAACCCTTCAGTGACAAGCACGCCTCTCCCCAGCCTCCCCAAGGTCACCTCTCCAGGGCCCCCAACTGCCCCCCCCCCCCGCATGCTGATGGTGCTAGGCCTGGGGGGCGCTGCCAGCAGGCCCCTGCCCACGGCACCCGCTGTTCCAACAGCCGCTCTGGCGCGTCTCAACTCTGGGAACACGCAGTGCCCCCTCCTCCCGCCCACACCCGGGCAGCCTTCCCTGTGGAGACACTGGTGGGCAGGTGCGCCCAGCACCCACCCACTCAAAGCCCACAGGCATGTGGCTTCAGAGGGTCCAGCCTCGCTCTACCCAGCCATGACCCGGGGGCTCTGGTGGATCCTCACAGGAGACGCCTCTGAGCCTGGGCTGTGGGCCAGGGTCACCAAGGTGGGCAGCAAGGTGGGCAGATCCTTCCCAAAGCTGCCTGCTGCTCATGGGGTGGAAGCCAAGCTTGTGCTCCCACCTTCCTGCCCTTTGACCTTGCTTAATTATCCCCCTACCACCACGCTGTCCCCTCTTGTGAAACTTCACCACCATGTCATCTTCCCCTGCCCCCCATGAACTCCAGGACATCCTTATGAGCTGACCACCAACCTCACTTGCTCCCACACCTAGCAAAGGGAGGTGCCCCTCTTTTCTGTACTCACAGAGTACCCATCACATGAAGATTAAGAGCTAGACTACTTGGGTTCAAAACCCAGTTCTGGCCCTTCCTCACTGTGTGGCCTTGGGAAAGTTTCTCTACCTCTCTGTGCCTCCATTTCCTCCCCTATAACAGGGATAAAATATTACAACCTGCTTCAAAGAACTGTGTGAGGATGAAATGAATTCATATTTGTGAAGCCTCCAGAACTGAGTCTAGACTGTAGCAAGTATGCCCTAAGTTCACTGTCAGTCAAGTAACCACTGCAGTTGTTATTTACTGAACACCTACTATGTGCCAGCCCCTATGCTCCAGATCTTACCTAACGTATCACACAACAGCCCATCAGGTGGGGCTGTCACGAACTCCAGGTTCACATGGGAGCAAGCCCCAGAAGCATCAGCTTAACCATCAAAATATATTTGGGAAAGGAAGGGATTTTTGCTGATATTAAGGAACTATAGTTAATTTCTTTTAGACAGATTATGGTTTTGTAGTTCCTTTTTAACACAAAGTCCTTCTTTTAGAGATATATGCCGAAATATTTACACAAGAAATAGGATGTCTGGGATCTGCTTTAAAGTGACACAGTATGGGGGTGGGGTAAATGGGGTGCAGGCCATGGTTGGTGGTGCTGGGGCTCCATGACGGTCTCCTGGGGTTCACTACATTAATACGGGGGCGCTGCCACACAGGCCTGTAATTCTGGCTATTTGGGAGGTGAGCAGGGGGGATCACTGGAGTCTATGAGTTCTGACCAGTCTGAACAACATAGTAGGATCCCACCTCAAAAAACAATGTAAAAAGGAAGATTAAAAATTAATAATGGGGGCTGGGGATTTAGCTCAGCAGCAAAAGCGCCTGCCTGGCAAGCGCAAGGTCGTGAGTTCGGTTCCCGCTACCAGAGAAAAAAAAAAAAAAAATTAATAATGAAGCCGGGCGTGGTGGCGCAGGCCTGTAATCCCAGCACTCAGGAGGCTGAGGCAGGAGGATCACTGCGAGTTCGAGACCAGCCTGAGTTACAAAGTGAGCTCAAGGCCAGCCTGAACTGCACAGCGAGATCCTGTCTCAAAAAGAAAAGAAAAAAGAAAAAAAAATTAATAATGAAAACAAATGCTTGACCCCTTGCACCTTCTGAACAACCACCTCAGATGGTCAGACTGTTACCACTCCTCCCGGCTGGACTGAGGAGCACCACCCCGCCCGCATCAATCTGTTCTCCACGTGGCAGCCATGTGCACCCAGAGTCCTCTGTGACCCCAATCTCACCGCAGTGAAAAGCCAGGGCTTGCAGAATGGCCCAAAGGCCCTGCTGATCTGGCTCCTCCATCTTGCTGGCCTCCTCTCCCTCTGTTCTCTCCCTGCTCACTCCACTCCCCTGCCTCTTGCTGTTCCTCCAGTACCTTAGGCATATTCAGCCTTGGGGCCTTTGCACTGACTGCTCTTGCCCTAGATTCTCTCTCCCAGGGAGATGCATGGTTCAGCATGAGTTCCCTTCCTGGTCACTCACCTAACTGCAACACACCTGTTCTCCACAACCCATTTCAGCCCCCTTCCTTGCTCTCTGTAGAATTCATGGCACTCAGTACCCTCCAACACACCACACACACAGTTCCCCTGTTTGTTGTGCTTCCATCACCAGCACTAGATGGGGAGCTCTGCAAAGACAGAGGTGTGTGTCTGCTTGGTTCTTTGCTATACCTCCAGCCTCCAGAACACTAGCACATAGGACTGCTTTGGGGGACATGCGCTGGATGGGTGGATGGATGGATGAGGGGATGGGTGGGTGGGTAGATGCGTGGATGGGCAGATAGGCAAATGAATGGATGTACAGATGGGTAGATGAGTGGACAGATGAATGGAGAATGGATGGATGAATAGATGGATGCATGGACAAATGGGTGGGTGAGTGCATGGGTGGTTGGGTGGATGGATGATGGATGGATGGATGATGGATGGATGCAATGGGATGGGAGGGGATGGACAGTTGATGGGTGGCTGGATGATGGGGGGATAGGCAGGCAGGCGGACAGGTGAGCAGGTGGATGGGCAGATAGATAGAGGACAGCTGGACAGTTAGATGGGTGGATGGATAGGTGGATGAGTGGGTGGGTCAGTAGACAGATGGGTGGATGTAAAAATGGCCCCACAGGAGGAAGAGGCAGACCACAGCCCCAGGTCTGTCCAGCCCCAAGCCTATGCCCTGACCATCACACTCATCGCCACCTGTCTGGCACACCCTCAGGGAAAGCCTCCGCCCAGGTAGGGAGTGAGCAAGAGGCCATCTGAGGGCTGGAGCAGCCAGAACGTGTCTGGTCCTGCGTCTGCAGTGCAAACATGCTCAGGGCCAGAGGGCCTCAAACCGGCTCTGCCAGTGCGGTGAGGCTGAGTGACTGGAGGCTCCGGCCAGCGGGACGGAGGTGCAGGGTGCTTCTGCAAACAGGACCGGAAACAGGGCTTCCAGCCAGGGGACACACAGCTCAGCAGGCTGACACGGAGCTCCCTCCATCCAGCCCCAGGGGGACACACAGCTCAGCAGGCTGACACGGAGCTCCCTCCATCCAGCCCCAGGGGGACACACAGCTCAGCAGGCTGACACGGAGCTCCCTCCATCCAGCCCCAGGGGGACACACAGCTCAGCAGGCTGACACGGAGCTCCCTCCATCCAGCCCCAGGGGGACACACAGCTCAGCAGGCTGACACGGAGCTCCCTCCATCCAGCCCCACAGAGACACGTCGTCTCTGCACTGCTGCTCTGGAGAGTCCCCCAGGCAGGAAGGGAGAGAGCCCTTCCCACTGGGACTGTGGCGGCTGGAAGCCCCAGAGGAAGGGCTGAGGCCAGGAAGTGGGTAGCACCGAGGAGGCCGGGGGAGCTGAGCAGCGGCAGACCTGTTTAAAACCCTGACTGTCCCCACGTGGGGGCGGGGGCTGCAGCCCCAGATGCCCTCCTGAGCTCAGTCTCCCCATGTGGAAAGTGGTGTGGGGCATGGATTCCAGACAGCCTCAATCCCATGGGGCTGCTCCGTGCAAGAAACCCCTTGGCAGCTCCAGTCTTTTCCCAAAGCTCAGCTCCAGGTAAGTATAGGTAGCCGCCCCCCAAAACAGCAAAAATCAAAATGCCTGCCGACCACTGAACCCGTACTACATACCTCCCTGTCCTCCCAGGGAGGCACCGTGAAGGAAGGACCATTCCTGGGCCCATTTCACAGTAAGGGAAATTGTGGCCCAATTCATGTGCCAAGTAGAGTAGAGCCCAGGCCCCCGGCCCCACCCCAGGGTCACACTGGGCAGTCTCCACCTCCCCAGCACAGCCCAGCACAGGAAACACATGCCGCCCAAGTGGGCAGCTGGAATCTGGAGCGCCGGGTCCATATGCTCCAAACCCTGAGAGGCCAAACTCAGCCCAGCCCCCCTGTGTAGTCCAGGCTGTGGGTAACCGGCCTGAGCCTCAGCCCCAGCCCCACCCCACCCGAGGAAAATGCGGAGGACCTGCCCCTTTGCCTAGGGCACTCCTGAAGTCTGACGCTCGGGAACTAAATGGGCCTCAAAGCACGATGAGGAAGCCCACCGCCGGGCCCTGTGGCTACAGACGTGTGGAGCAGGCCGCAATCCAAACCAGAAGCCTGTGGCTGTTGGGCGCTCTGCCGCCATCGCCAGCTGCCCCAAAGAGGAAGGACGAGTCCTTGGCCCCTGTTCCCCACGTGATCCAGTCCCAAGCCCCGTCAACCCGCGTCCCTCCAGTCATACCGCGTCCCTCCCTCCCTCACACCAGAGCCACAGCCTAGTCCAGGCCCTGTTGCCTTCTCTCAGGATCCCCCGTGCCAAGCAGACAGCCTTTGTGAAATGCCAGTCTGATCCCATCCACCTCTCACTCCCCTCTGCCCGACAACAAAGGGCAGAAGCCCTACAAGCACAGCTACCAGCTCCACCCCTCTCTGCTCCACTCACGCCAGCCACCTGCAGCACTCTCTTGCCTCAGGGCCTTTGCACGTGAGGTCTGTGCTGCCCAGAGTACACCTCTCCCACAGGTGCACATTCCTCCCTCCCTCTCTTAGCTTCAGGTCTTCAGCACACACATGCCACCGGCTCTAACAGGCCCTTCCTGACCACGTGTTTAAACACCCAGCCAACGCCACGCTCGCTTCCAGTCTCTAGTCAAAGCCACCTCCTCATGGAGGATCTCCCTGATCCCTCAGCCCCAGTAAGGGCCTTCAACTTCCCCTTCCTGGCCTGGACCAGGACGTGACTCACCGTGTGGGGATATGTCTCATGAGGACAGGGCCACTTCTGCCTCCCTCGTGGCTGACTGTCCTGTGGTGGGTGTCAGACTCAACAGTGCGCAGCTGGGTACGTGGCCACAAGCACAGGGCCTGGCATGGAGAGGGCACTTGATGATGAATGAATGAATGAATGAATGAATGAAGGAGCAGACATCGCAGGCCCCCCCCCCCCCCCCGAGAAGCTGGCCCGGAGAATGCAGCGTCCACCCGGGTTCACCAGCCACCATGCTCCGACCCTGCAAACCCAGCTGCTATTTCCCACCCTCGCCTCGGGCAGCTCCTTCTCCCTGGGGAATGAGTGCAGAGGAGAGGCAGGTGGCCCCTGCTCCCAGAGGGGGACTCCCAGACTCCCTCTGTCCCACCACAAAGGGGCTTTGTGCTCCGTGCTGAGAGCCAGGCCGGAGCGGAAGCCGTCCCTCCGCACCGCGGGCAGCTGGGGCTACGGCCATGGCTCAAAGGCAGCCGCAGAGGCTGGTGCAGTCCCCCAGCTTGGCTCACCCTTTCAGAGCCTCAGGAGGGAAGCTCTAGGGTGACTCCATTTCCGCAGGTGGGCAAACTGAGGCTCAGAAGGGCAGAGACACTTGGCCAAAGACTTTCAGAAACAGATAAAACTCAAAGCCAGGCCAAGGTGGTGGCACAGGCAGACCCTCTGAGCTGGGGAGGGAGGAGTCTTGGGGAGCTGGCCCTTCACCCACTGGCACTCTGCCCTGGGAGGGAGCCCTCACCCCACGCCCCAGGCACCCCGGGTATAGCAGCCGGGCTGCAGCACGTCCCTACTTCCTGCCAGCCTGTGCCTGCCCTTCGGGGAAGGGCTGTGTGAGCAGAAGGGCTCGGGGCAGCGGCACCCGCTTTCTCTCCAGCAACCCCCAGAGCCACCTCACCAGAGCCACTTCACTAATGTCACCCTGCCTGAGCCGGGCACCAGCCACAGTGCTGAACATCTGCGTCTCCCCGGGGGCCGCCACACGCCCATGATGCCTGCGAGCCCATGGCCCCCGAGGCGCTGCACATGCCACGCCATGAGGCCTGGCTCAAGTGCCACTGTCCCGAGACCAGCTGTGCCACCCGCAATCCCCCCCTGGGGTTCCCCCAACTCACTCCCCGCAGGGCCCACACCAGCCCCTTCCTCCTGCCCCATGGCGGGCTCTTGATCCCCGCCTGAACCCACCGCACCCCACCCCACGGGCCACCTCACCAACCCTCTTCTTCACCCTCCCTGCACATCTTGGGCAGGAGGCCAGCCAGGACGTGCCTTACTCCCAGAGTGCCCCCAAGAGAAGCCAGGTTCATTGTCCCCTTCTCCCCATCTGCTCCGTGACCTGCCACTCCGCCTCCCCAGGCTCCGCAGGTACACCAGGCTGCTTCCCTCCTCCGGGCTTTGTGCAGTGTCCCTTCTTCCAAGCAGGTCCTTGCCCTTCTTTTTTGTCTCCTGAGCGCCTGCTCACACTGGAAGACACAGGCCAGATGCCATCTCCTCTGGGAAGCCCTCCTGGCATTGTGCTAGGTTTCTACCATTCGTGTGGCACCAACCCCAAGGTAAGGCAAAGATCAGGGTCTGTATTTGTCTCCCCCCAGAGTACACGCTGTCCCCAGAGAGCGTCCTTGGGGTCCCCTGCACCCACCACAGGCCCAGGCATCACCAGTAGGTAGATAATCCAGGCCAGCTGCCACCTTCCTGCCAGAGCACTCCCGGTGGCGGCAGAGTGCTGCTCTGCCCACAGTGCCCACAGAGCTAAGGTTTGGGTGGAGTGGGCGGAGAAGGGGGAGCTCTCTGCAAATGGCCAACTGGTAACCAAACCCACATCGTTTCTAAAACTAGGGCACAGGAGAGAAACGGGAACAGCAGAATTGTCCCCAAATAGAACTGTGGCTCATCTGGTTCCGGGGCCTTCGGGAACACCTGGCAGGGGTGGGGGTGGGGAGAGCAGGCGGCTGCTCTGGGGCTGGGAAGCAGAGCCAGGAGGAAAGGCCAGGCCCAACAGTCTGCCCTGGGACCACTCCCCCTGCCAGGGCCAGTCCAACGCCTGGGGCACTGCCCACCTCACCCACCAGCCACAGGGCCTGCAAACTGTCCCCCACCAAGCCTTAGGTCACTGCCAGGAATGCTACTACTCCTTCCTGCCAGTCAGAATCCTGCCCATCCTTGGAACCTTGACCACTGCCGGGTAACCGTGACACTTCCTAGAAGCCTGGGCTGGCAGACATCTGGGGACAGTGAGCTTGTCAAGTCCTCCTAACAGCACTTTGAGAGAAAACTGCTCCCATCTCACAGATGAGAAAGCTGGGGCTCAAAGAGGGAAGCCATTCGCCCAGGGCAGTAGCGCAGGAGGCAGACAGACCAGATGTCATGGTAGCGCTCACACAGCCCAGGGACCTGCTGAGCAGACAGAGTAGGAGCCCACCTGCCATCTTCAACCCCACCCCTGCCTAGGGCGGCAGACCAAAGAGCCACTTCTGAGATGGGCTGGAGTCAGGTGTGTCATATGTAGAGACCCATTGCACAGATGAGCAAACAAGTCCTGAAGGAGTCAGGACCTTATTCCTTACAGCTATTTGTTGGATGCTTACTCTGGGCCAGGCCTTGAGCGAAACACTTTGTGGAGATGATTACAGCCCCAACGCATATACTTTTATCACCTCTATTATCCAGAAAAGGAAACTGAGGCACAGTGAGGAGAAGCAACATGCCCAAAGTCCGGGTCAAGTAAGTGGACAAGTGGGCCAGGGATATAGCTCAGTGGCACAAGTGCCTACCTGGCAAGCGTAAAGTCCTGAGTTCAATTCCCGGTACCAAAAAAAGTAAGTGGACAAGGAAGCTTCTACCCAGTCTGACAGCAGGAAACTGGAATCATGGTTACGTCCCTTTCCAGGTTCTGTGTCTGTTTACCCCTCTGGAAAGTGGGATGTATCCCAGAAGCCTTCTGTTGTGGCATTCCTCTGTGGCCTGGTCAATGCTATTCCCTTTCTTTGAACCTCAGTCTCCCCATCTGGAGAATGGGACTGTCATTTCCTTCCTCTCCAGGTTCATACAAACCGTAACAAAGTATCAGTCAACACCTACTGAACACTCACTACCTGCTGGCATCACACATGTGTAGATCGTCATCCAAGACTTAGAACAAGCAATGCCCTCGGATGGAAACTGAGGCACCAAGAGGCGACCTGACTCCCAAGTCACACAGCAGTTGGAGATGGAGAAGCCTCCTGGACTCCATGCTGCCTAGAGCGGAAGGTGGGGAGGCCCGAGGGGTGACCAAGATCAGGTGGGTTCAGAGAAAGACACAGGCCAGATGAGCAGGGGAGCCTGCGATGCCCGGGGGTGTGAGTTCAAATCCATGCACTGGGTGACTTTGGGAAAGTCCCGCTCCTCTGTCTGGGTCTCTCTCGGTGACACGGAGCAGAAGCAGCACCTTGCAGGGCCGCGGTGAAAAGACACGGTCCTTTGCCAGGCACTGGGAAGGACTCAACTGGGTGCTTACAGTGTGAACCCTGAGCACTGGGGACCCCATCCCTTTAGGGTCTCAGGTGTGTCTGGATCTCTGTTAAGAAGCGGGAGGACCGAGAGTATAATCTGCCTCTAGTCTGATTCTTAGAAGGAACCCTCCAAGATCTGCCTCTTCAGTGCTCTGTGACCTCAGGCAAGCCCCTTCACCTCTCTGAGCCTCCAAATCTTCCTTCTGACAAGGCAAGTTTTTCATGGAGCCTTGGGGAGAGTGAGCAGGGGAAAAGTAGCCCAACTGCCCAAGCAGAGACAGCCCCTGGCAGGAGCCCAGCTTGAGGCCAAACGGAGATTGTACCAGCAGCTCTGTCACACACCCCCCAGCCCTGCACGGAGGTGACTGTGGGAAGTGCTTTGTAAAGTGCTATACGCTTGAGAGTGATAATTATCACATGTGCCCTTAAGGCAAAAGAGCTCTGTGACTTGTCATTCAAGGGAGGGCAAAGATGGGGTGAGAGGAGGGAGAGTAACACTCTCTGGACCCAGCAGCACCTCAGCCCCAGGAAGGGCACTGAGCAAGCTGCAGAGACAAAGGGGTGGCAGCCAGACCACCAGGGCAGGCGGGAAGTCGGGCAACGGTTCAGAGAGGCCAAGGGTCACCTGCATGACTGGGAAACATGGGAGACGATGAGGCCCTGCGGCCCAGCCAAGAGCAATCCACGAGCCTCAGCCACCCCCAACAAAACAAAGGCAAGAATAGTTCCTGCTTCTCCAGCCCATGGCCGCCACCTCTGATCAGATGGGCCCTATTCAAGGGGGCCTCGAAGTCCAAGGTGAAGCATCAAGACACAGGGACACCATCGCAGGTCACAGGCAGGCAAGGACTGAGGCAGGAACAGGGTCTGGGAGGGCTGGATGGAGCTGGTGACTTCTGATCAATCCAACAACCAAGCCTGCCTGTCTCCAGGAAGCTTTCCCACCACTCTCTGCCGCACAGAACATTCCAACCACAGACCACGGTGACCAGTAACTGCCCTGGGACTTCCAGATCAGCTAGCCTGCAGGAGTCCAGGTTTCCTGCCTCCTCGGGGAACATCAGGCACTTACTGTATGCAGGGACCGCAGGCAAGCACTTAGCACACTTTGGCTGTGCTGATACTCATACCACCTTGTCAAAGCTGGTACTAGCACTGTCATCCCCATTTCATGGATGGGGGAACTGAGGCTCAGAGAAGTCATTTTCCCACCATCATACACAGCACACCAGTGGCTACACCAGGACTCAAACCCACAGCCAATTGGTTTTAAAGGTCTTTCTACTTCCATGGCACGCAAGAGGACTGGACTCCAGGTCTGAATGGAGACCCAGCAGCCAGACCTGGAAGGCCAGAGAATCAGGGTCACCCACCCCCAGCATCAGCTGGGAAAAATGTCAGCCACACCGGGCTCAACAGAAATCAGACACCAGAAGTCTGGGCTCACACCTCACTTTCTGGGTGACAGTACCCGAGCCCTAAGCTTCTCAGCCTCAATCTCTTCCTTGCGACAGAATAAAAATTTTACTCACCTCCAGGAGGGGACAACCTGACTGTGATCCAGCTCTGGAGGATACAATGTGCGGATATCAATATGAGGCAAAGTAAAATGAAGGCCGTACATTTGGACAAAGCAGCCTGAGAGGGGCTAATCAGTCCTTAACAGGGAGGCCATGCTTCCGGATGCCACTTGGAGCCAGTTTCCACCAGCATCCGCCCTCGGTTTATGCCCGCCCCAGAGCCCAGCAGGCCCAAGGATTCAAAAGACCCAATCCTACAGCCTCCAACAGCTACACAGCCTTCACCTCCTACCCATCTCAGACACCCAGCCCCACCCTGGCACCAAAGAGGACTCAGTCGGGCCTGTCCCTGGAGAAGACAGCAGCCATGGGCCCATCCTAGAATCTCTAAGAACAAAGAGCACACACTGTGCAGATGAGAAAACAAGACCATGACATGCAGGGGCTGGGCCCAGACCATTCAACTTCTCCCTTCCAGCTTCTCCTTTTATTCTAGAACTTCTCAGGATAGTTTTAGGGGCAGGGAGAGCAGAAGGGACCAAGTGTCAAAAGACAGATCTGTACTTTTCTTCTAGCTTGGGTAATTTGTCCTGCGTCTTTATGGCCTCATTTCCCCCATAGTGAACAAAGAAGGTCTGAATAGATCAGGAATGACAAACAAATGGCGTACATACAATAGTCTCCCATCCTCTACCCATGGCAGACATTACTAATCTATCACCACACTCTTTCCCACAAAGTCAAGTCTGGACCTCAAAATGCTTTTCAGCACAACACTTCAAGTCTGTGGGATTTGAGCTCAAGGCCAAAAGAGGACTGGATGATATCTAAGCCAGAGGAAGGAAGGGAAGAAGGACAAAAAAAGATGTAATATTTACTGAACATTCATAGATTCCAGCCACTGGGATTATGTTAGCAGACTTAATTCTCACAAAGGAGGCAATCGGAGGCCGAGGTTCACAGAGGCTAAGCACCTTGACTTTGGACTTTCATCTGGGAATGAGGTTGGAATACAGGGGCAAGCCCAAGGCAGCCACTAAGTGAAACTCCTGCCCTTTTCCTGTGAGGTACAAGTCCCATGACCACTCCCCAGTTTCAGAAACTCAAACCCAGGAAGGAGCCTCAGCAGCCAAAAAAAGAAGGATCTCAGCTCATGTCTAGCACTTCCCCACCCGTACTTATTGAGCACCTAATTTGTGTAAAATACTTTATTTCTGTTGCTTCAGGACAACGTGGAACCCATGATTCACTATTCCACTGCTTAGATGAGGAAACTGAGGCCCCACCAGAGGAAGTGCCCCTCCCCAATTCAAATGGAAACCAGAGCAGTTTCCCAGGGAGATAAAGGGGGTGGAGGGAGGAGGAGCAGAGGGGGGAAGTAAAGGGCTGTGGGAACCCAAGAGAGAGAGAGAGGAGCAAGAGGAGCAGCGGCCACAAGCAGAGGCAGGAAATGAGGCTCTGCTCAAAGACCCAGAGCGGGGAGTGGGGCCTTCACAGGACCTCTGAGGCCTGCAGGGACCTAGGCAGCCCTAGGGAGTGCCCAGCACTGGGGCCTAGGCCTGGCCCTGTCACTTGAGAGACCTGGGCAAGTGGCTTTTCCTCTCTGGGTCTTAGCATTTCTGGAAAACACGCCCAATCTCATCTCCCACAGGCTCTCAAGAAGCTGAGCAGGGCTGGACTGGGCTGCCTTCTCTGCCTCACACAGAGAAGGCTCGGGGAGGGAAGGGAGGGGCTCAAGGTCACCCAGCACATCGGTGACCTTAACTGCCAATGTCCTCTCCTAGACCAGCCCTTCGGATTCAATGAGATCATCCATTCAAGGCTGTGAGCGCACAGCTGGTGAGGCCATAAGATGCCAACTGACCTGCCCAATATAACATGGCACAAAGCGGGATCCATTTTCTGAGAATCTACTGGTGCCAGGCACTGGGCACAGAGCCCTCTTTTAATCCTAACCCGGAAGATACTTGCTGCCCCATTTTCAAGCTGAAGAAACTAAGTCTCTGGCAGATACAGTGAATGACCCAAAGACACACAGCAAGTGGGATAGTGAGAACTTGAACCCAGGCCCATCCAACTTGAAAGCACTTAATGTCACCATCTCTGTAGCTGACGCTCCCTGCTCCTCACCTCACTCCCAGCTTCCACCCTGCTCCCCCTCATCATGCTTCCCTAATCTCTGGCTTCCCTAATCTCTGGCTCTCTGGCTGTCTGGCCTTCCTGCTGTTGAACTCCTACTTCATCTTAAAAGCCCAGCCTCACATGCCTTCTCCTCTTGAGACCTGGTTAAGCCCACTCACACATCCATTTCCACAGGCACCTGGTCAGCTTCCTGGCTTCCGCCGCACCTCCAGCAGGCCCTCAAGAAGCTGAGTGGGGCTGGACTATGGCCGGCTCCTCAGCATGAGAACGTTCAGATAGAGGACGCCACTCAGACCTTGTGTAAAGATGGTGCCAAGCTCCTCCCCAAGGCCTGGGGCCCCCACCAGGTCCAGCCCTGCTGATAACAAGGCCTGGCTTTACCTCTCACTCCCTGCATTCTGTGTTCCAGCCTCAAGGCTTCCTCTGGGTTCCACGCTCCTCCACTCAGGGCCTTTGCATGTGCACTCCCGGCTGCCTGGCCCACCTTCCCCTAGCTCCATGCCTGGCCAACCCCCTCATGCTTCCTTCAGGGTTTCCCCGTTCCCAGGCCTCTCTCTGAGCCTTTATCTCATCTGCGACTGTATATTAATTTGTCTTGCAACTTGTTTGCTATTTGGCTCCAGAGTCAAACTTCTGGGAGGCTGGGAACCTGATCACAATTCCCCAGCAAGTACCCACTAGACTGCCCACTGCCCACTACCCCAGGAGCCCTAAAAAGTATCTTACACAGGAGGGAAAAAATTAAAAAGTACAAGCTCCAGATCTTTGCTGCCTGTCCTGCATTTGAGCACCACCTCCTGAAAGCCCTCCACACCAACCCACTGCAACACTGCTCAGCCCGTCCAAAGCTTCTGTGTACAGAAGGCGCCCAATGCGCAGTCATCAGGAGCTGGTATCTAGGCAGGTTTGGGGGAACAAGGTCAGCTGAGGACCAGGACTGTGAGTGGGAAGGGGTCTGTCAGCAGCCACTGAGCCATGTCCTCCCCCCGCCGACCCACGGGTGAAAATCAGGGGGGAAGCCAAAGCAAGAGCCAGGCTGTAGGCTGGAGACAACTCACAGCCCCAAGAGAACCCAGGGAGCAGGAGCAGACAGTGGGGCTGGGAGAGGCAGGCCCCAGCCAAGCCTGGATGGGAGGCTGACATGGGGTCCTGGGGTTCCTGGAGGGGAAGGCTCTCCTGGCAGAGACCTGATCAGGCCCAGGGGTGCACCTGAGGGCCAAGGCAGGCAGTCAGCTGAGAGAGGTGACACACAGTAAGTCACTTCCCGGGGTGGAAAGACCACATCACTATAGCACACACACACCACATCCCCAGAAAGGTCTCATGGCTTCCATCAATCATGCAGCTTCTCCGACACTGCTGTGGGCCTGTCCCATCCTGGGCAACCATGGATACCTAAGAGGGGTTCAAGGGCAGTCAGACTGGGCGGGGCCTCTGACATCGAGGTGCCAATCCAGCTTCCTACTGTGTAGCCTTGGTGAAGTCATTTCCCCTTTCTGAGCAGTAAGATGAGGACAGACAAGAGTTCCTGCCTCCTAGGTGTTCAGGAGCTATTGCTACTATTGCTCCATTTTAGACTTGACAAAACTGAGGCCAGCAGGAGCAGTGAGTTGCCTAGGGTCACATGGATGTGGGTGGCAGGGTGGTGTCACAACTGTTTCTTTTTCAAAGGGTTCTAGGGCACCTTTCTGGGCACTAACCCATCCTCTTCTGAAAAGGAGCTCCAGTGCAGCCAGCAACCTCACACCCTCCCCACCTTGGGCAATTCGACCAGCACAGGACTCATTTACTGAGCACTGTACCTGCCTTAGCTGCATAAGCACATAGAATCTTCACCTGAGGAGCCCCATTTTACATATGGGACTACAAGGGTAGTCCCTTGGCCAGTCATCCAGACAGACGAGAAGCATAGGTTTCTCCTTCACTTCACCTCTCTGGGGCAGGGTCAAGCCTGGCCCACCCTGGAAACCAAGTCTGATCTCAGCTGCACTGTGGGTAGGCTTGGCCTCACCAGGTGACCCAGGACCACTACCCCAGTTGCATATAGGCCATGAGGCTCAGCCTTGCCCAGAGCCCCACAAGCCCCTGCGTCCACTCTACAGTCCCACTGAAGAACCCAGGGACCCTGTGCATTTCCCACAGGTGGGTCCCTTCCACTCACCGCACCCTTGACCCGATCGGCGGTCCCCCGGGCCACCTACACTGGCATGGCTCAGAAAGGACAAGCTGTGTCTGAGAACACACAGGATGGCAAGTGGTGGCCAGGTGGGGACTCAAACTCGTCCACAGCCCCTGTCCAGGTAAGCAAGTGGACCTAGCTTGGTAGCAAACCCCAAAACTTTTGCCAACTTCTGAGCCGCTGGTTGCTGGGCCTGCTCAGGGGCGGGGCTGGGGGCTGTGTGGACCGAGCGCAGTGTGGCCCAGTCCCTTCTAGGCCAGCAACCAGGCCGAAAGGAGGCTCCACGAGGGCAGGGAGAGTCCGGCGGCCTGGCCAGCGCCCCCGCCCGAGCGCCCCTCGCCGCGCTCGGCCGCCGCCCCCATTCTCCCTGGGGTGGGGGGTGCCTGGCCCGGCAGCCGTAGCCAGAGGCGAGGCCGATTGGCTCAGATTTCGGATTTGGCCTAGACCTGGCCGGGGCTCGGCCGGGCTCTCCCGCGTCTCCGCCGGCAGGGAGGAGGCGAGCCAGAGGGGGGGGGGGTCCCCGCGCGGTTGGGACCCCGGTGCTCTCCGCCCAGCACCCTCCCCCCGCGGCATCACAACAAAAGGCCGCGCCGGGCAGGTCCCCCCAGCCGCCCAACGCTGGGGATCGCGGCTCGGCCCAGCGGGTGCGCGGTGGGGAATGGACAGGAGCCCCGCGGGCCCGCGATCGGGCACCGGAGGCCTCGGGGCGC